CTCATAGTTGAGGTATACCTATGATGAAAATTACAGGCCTCTCTCATCTTTTTAAGTGGGAGAACTTCCACAATTGGTGGCTGACTAAATACTTTTTTGCCCCACTGTACCACCGATGTGATAGACTTATTTCAGCTCACTCCCAAAATTATTTGAGCAGCTCCCAATTTAATTATCTTAAAGTTCTAAACAAAAATAGTCCTATAAAGAACATGTTACCAAGTTATTATAGTAACTTTGTAATAACTAACTGAAAGTTATTATAGTACATAGCCCAGATCATTCTTGCTTTAAGCTCATCTTTAATCAAGAGAACCAGTTTAAAACTGGCACAAAGCTGTTTTGGCTATGGCTGATATATGTGAGTCTACCATTATTCCAGCAATTGATGTTCTAGAGAAATGTAATTCTCATCTAGAACAAAGGAGACATCACTTCCAAATCTTCCCACCATTAATAGCTTACCCAGTCTGAATTGATCTTTCTCAACCTGTCTCTCACTTTGAACTGCAATACAAACATTAGATGTGCCCAGCATGCTACAATTAACTCACATATCTATGAATAAAATACTACTTCTTCTAAAGTGATGTTTTCCAATAAGGGTTTCCCCAACAGTAGAGCATGTGCAAAGTTTGGGCCAATGCTTCTGCATGTTGGATGACAGACAGTAGCTACTACTTACTCTCATGGCCTTAAAGTGAAAAACAAGAAAACAAAGGGCTTGTTCCAAGTTCCTATTGCTTCCTATAGACAAAACACTAAAAACATTTTGAATGTTGTTCCATTGCACAAAGAACACTCATCCTCTTTTGAGTTTTATCAAAATGCATGTAACTTAGAATTTTTCAGAATTTCCAAATGGGGCTATCTTACATCTGTAATAGTCAGGGATTCTCTCCAAAAATATCAAATAACTTGAGTATGGTCCATCTATATATATTATTTAATATGCCATATTAACACTTCCACATTTGTAATTCTTACTTGTACATTCCAGAGCCAAAGCTCAGAGCAGTCATCTGGGCCACAAGCAACAAGGTAGTTGTCATCAGGGCTCCAAGCAATATATGAGACTCCATATGCATGGCCTTCCAAAGTCTTGAGCAGTTTTAGCTGATGTGTATCCTTTAAAAACAGAAAATATTAAAACTCCAGTAATTTAACTAGTTGGTAAGCCTTTTATATAGCTTAAGTAGCTCATTTAAAAGAATAATTTATTCCCACAATCCCAGAAACCATTTAGCAAAGGAACATATCAGGAACTAGAATTCAGAAACTTGTTTTTAATTTTCACTTATTTAACAGCAAATAGTAGACATACACCCATTTTTTTCCTACCTAGAATAATAGAAGTCTGGAAAAGCTACACCAGGGGAAAACCAAAAAGCAGGTAAGCAGGAAGTCTGTTAAAAAATGTCAATGACTTTTCTTGAAACTAACTCATGCAAAGCAAGATACTCTCAAATAGATTAAAATAGTACTGTGCTGGAAAAGAAGCACTAAGAAAAATAAGGCAACAAATACAAGCGACATAACACTCTCTGACATAACAAAAAGGGAGAATTCTATTTATTTGTCTAATCAGCAGAATTACAACAGGAGAAATAATAGTTTTAAAAACACTTTTTTAATAAACTGTATCAGAGAGAGATGATTTTCGGCTTACTCTGGGGTCCCACATCAACTTAACAGTATTAGAGCTGTATCAATCATGTAGTGGCCAACCTTACTACTTAAATACAATGAACCTTCAAAATTACATATAAATGTTACTCAGCAATAGTTTCTTCCCCTAGAAAATTAGCTTCAGTGCAAATGCCAAGTCTCAAATATATTTCTCCATGGTGGTATTGAAGTACACTTAAAAATGCTGCTCTCAATGACTAAGGATTTTACTATATATGAATCAGAATTTGAGATATTAGCATCTAGAGTGCCCATGTGCTATCATCGATGTTGAAAAGAATTTTCCAAAACTATGCTTCAGTGATACATAAAATATAAAATCACACATAAACAGAAAACTCATGGACTATATGCATACAGTGGTGCTTAAAGGTTTGTGAACCCTTTTGAATTTTCACTATTTCTACATAAATACAGGTAGTCCTTGCTTACGAACGATTCATTCAGTGACTGTTCAAAGTTACGATGGTGCCAAAAAAAATAACTTTACAGCCAATTTACAACCAGCAGCGTCCCTCAGTCACATGATCACCATTACAGTCAGTATGTGTTGTCCTGTGTCTAACCTATGGTTTTTAATTTTTCCCCCCTTGCAGAGCAGACAAATTGGAGAGGGAGGGATTGCAAGAGAATAAGCTGTTTGTTCTTCTACAAATTGAAAGCAATGTGATTGCGCTGGCAGTGGGAAAGGGTCAGGCAAAGGAGAGATTGCCTATAGAAACTGCTTGCTTTTCCCTGGGTTGGGAGCCGTGGGCACACTACACAAACAGCTTACAGTACTCTCTTGAAATCATTTCCTCTCTAATCTCTCCCTTGCCTGACCCTTCCCCTCCCCAGCAGAGCAGAGAGATTGGAGAGGGATTCAAGAGAGCAAGCTGTTTGCTCTTCTACACATCAAAAGCAATGCAATTGTGCTTTTTTTTCTCCCTTTTTTTCTTTTCTACACTCTCCCCCCATTTTTTGTGTTTTTCTGTTTATATTTTTTGTAGTTTGTATTGACTTTTATTCTTTTCATTTATAATTCTTAATAAAATTATTTGGAAAAAAAAGTAAGCAAGCACTCAAGCACTTCAAAGGACAGGGGAGTGGTTAGGAGGCAAACAAAAGCCAAAGGTGTGAAACTGGCTAGTTTTGTCTCTTTCCAGCTGGAAAGCAGTCATGAACATGTGATTTAGTGACCACTTTGCTTAGCAACACACTTGCCAGTCCCAATTAGGGTTGTTAAGCAAGGACCACCTATATGATCTAAAATGTGACCTGCTCTCCATACAAGCCCTAAAACCAGATAAAGAGAACTCAATTAAACAAATAAGTCAAAAACATTATACTTGTTCATTGATTTATTGAGGAAAATGATCCATAAAAAGTATGTGAACCTCTAGGATTATTAATTCATTGAAGGGGAAATTAGGTGTTTCAATCAATGGGATGATAATCAGGTATAAGTGTAGGAGGGTCTGCCTTATTTAAAGAACAGAATTCTGGGTATTCACTATTAAAGTCTGATCTTCATAACACAGATATGTGGAAGTGTGTCATGGCTCAAAAGAGATTTTTGAGGACCTCTGAAAAACAGTTATTGATGCTCACCAGGCTGGAAAAGGTTACAAAGCTATTTCCAAAAGTTTGGACTTCACTAGTCCACTGTCAGGCAGACTGTGTACAAATGGAAGCAATTCAACATCAATGTTACCCTCCCCAGGAGTGGTCGACCAACCAAGATTGCACCAAGAGCAAGGAATACAAATACTCCAGGAGGTTTCAAAGAACACCAGAGTAACGTCTAAGGAACTAAAGGCCTCTCATGCATCAGTGAATGTCAGTGGTCAGGAGATCACCATTAGGAGAACACTGAACAACAGTGGTAGACATAGCAGGGTTGCAAGGAGAAAGCCACTACTCTCCAAAAACAACATTGCTACCTGTCTACAGTTTGCAAAAGACCACATGGATAAGCCAGGAAACCACTGGAAGAATGTTCTGTGGAGGGATAAGGTCAAAATAAAACCTTTTGGTTTGAATGAAAAGCATTATTTTTGCCGAAAGGCAAACACCACATTTCCGCATGAGAACCTTATCCCATCTGTGAAATATGGTGGTGGCAGTATCATGATTTGGGCCTGCTTCACTGCCTCTGCACCAGGATAGTGCATCATTCACAGAACTATGAATTCTGAATTGTACCAGCAAATTCTACAAGAAAATGTCAGGGTAGCTATCCGTGAAGTGAAGCTCAAGAGAAAGTAAGCCATGCAGCAAGACAACAACCCAAAACACACAAGTTGTACAACCAAAGGATGGTTAAAGCAGAGGAAAGTTAAAGTTTTGGAATGGCCAAGTCAAAGTCCTGACCTTAATCCTATAAAAATGTTGTGGAAGGACCTGAAGTAGGTATTTATGCGAGGAAGCCCATCAACATCCCCGAACTGAAGCTGTTCTGTAAGGAGGAATGGGCTAAAATTCCCCCAAGCCGATGTGCAGCACTGATCAACAGTTATCAGAAACGTTTAGTTGCAGTTATAAGTGGGGCACACTAATTACTGAAAGCAAAGTTTCCCTTACTTTTGCATACACACAAATATGTCTCTTTGGATCATTTTCCTTAATAAATAAATGAACAAGTATGTTTTTGACTCATTTGTTTAATTGGGTTCTCTTTATCTAATTTTAAGACTTGTACCTCAAGCATTTTTGTTTAATTTTAAAATGTTAAATTTCTTCATGTATAAACTATTCATGGAACATATTTAATGTAGCTATAATGAAGGAACATACACACAAAAAATTAAAATGAATAAACACAGTTTTGGAATAGTGAAAAAGACCTAGAGGAAAACAAGGCAAATAGAAGACCCATCAATCTAATGCAAGTCTAAGAAATACTTTTTTTAGGACATTTTCAATTGCTAGGCATGTGCAGATGTTAATTTGTTGTATATTCTAAATACTTTACTCAACCACAATATTTACAAGCCAGAATTACGGTTAATAAAAAGACGTGAATTATATTGTTTCTGGGCATATTTTATTTTTTAGTGCCAGAAATGAACTTGAAATATTTGAGCGTTGCTGGCTACTCCAAATGTCTTTATTTCAATAATTTAGTGGGAATGATATTATTGGTACTGTTAAATAATTGGAAAGCCACTGTACACTATCTAGTGAAAAATGGAGGAGGGCTATTTTTCTCCTGTTTATGTTTGTTGGCTTCTGAAACTGGCCACTGAATCATGAAGAATGCTGGCCTCATGTTCTTGTTCTTACACAAGAAACTGAGACAGAATACAGTGGTACCTCGGGTTACGAACGCCTCTGTTAATGAACTTTTCGGGTTACGACCAGCTCCGGCCGCAAAAAT